TGGATTTATTTTTGGAGAAATGATTTTATAAAATTAAAGGAATTAAATATAAAGTAAAGATGTGAAAATTTTTAATATAAACTTTAATTTAATTTCAAGTATTTTTTAAAAAATTATGTAATAAAAGAGCTTTTCAGATGAAGAATTTCCATAAAATTAATTAAATTTTTTAGTCTAAAAATATGAGAATTAAACTGAAGATTTTTATGAAAAAGTGTGTTTTGGAAACGAAGATAAAGTTAAGCTTATTTTAAAATAAAGTCTATAAAAAACTTGCGTAATAAGAGATTTCTAAACTTTTACTTTTTCAGTAAATGATTTAAAAAATATATTGTATTTAGTTTCTAATACTAACAATATTATGTTCTTTGAAGATTTTTCGAATATTAAAAATGAATGTTAAATGTAAAAAAAATTAAATATTATTTAATTATCAATAAAATAAAATAGATTATTACAATAGTTTAAGACAATACATTTAAAAATTAATAATTAATAGAAAAAAATTATTTTTTTGTATGGGAAAGTAAAAATAATCATAAAAATTAAAAAAGTTATTTATATAAATATTTGTGTTTGGATGATAAGTTATCTTTCGAAACAAATCTTTTTCAAAAAATATTACAGTTTTTGCTTACTATTGATGATTTTTAAGAATAATAAAAGTTTAATAATAGTGAGTTTTATAGTTTTGAAAAAATAATAGATTATTATAAAAAAAGCTAAAAGTTTTCACATATTCTTAATTTTGAAAATATTAATAATTTGAATTATGGATAAGACGAATAAATTTCATTTTAGTGTTTTTTGGGTTATATTACTAATTTTTTGTAAAAGATGAGTGAAAAATAAAAATAAAATTAATTTTAGGAAATTCTTTTAGAATTAGAAAGCAAAAGCAGTAAGAAGTTTAAAGAAATTTGCGGTATAATAAAAAATGATTAAGTCCGATTTTTTTAATAAAGAAATATTATCAGAAGCATTATTAAAGATATCGAAGATGAATAAAAAATTGTCTTTTAACTTAATTTGCATTAAAATATTATCAATTTTATTAATAAATAAAATGTTTTTTTGGAAATATAATTTATTAATGGAAAATTTAATTTATTTGAAAAAAATTAAAATTTAAACTTATAATTGTGTAATAACGGAGGAACTTTATGTTAGAATATTTAGGAGTAAATTATTAATTTTTTTTGTTTTAATTTTTTATTTTTTAAGTTTTCTTAAATATTTGGGCAATTTAAAAGAGATTAAAGAATGTTTTGTTAATTAAACTAATATTGAAATGTATTTTTTTTAGTTTTTATAAATTATATATAATTTTTGGTAGTTTTAATAAACTTTTTGAATAATATTTGGATCTTATAAATAATATTTTAGGTAATGATGAAAAATTTAGTAAATATAATTCTTAAGAAAAACAAGATATTTTAAGAGAATTGGAAAAATACATGTCCAAATATTTTAATAATAAGTAAATTTATTTAATCTTTTTTGATATTTTACTTTTTTTTATTAAAAATAATAATAATAATATAAAATGTAGTTGTATGCCTTAGAATAATACTGAATTTGATATTAAGTTTATAGAATAAGCTAAGAAATATAGCTATATGAGTTATGTTTATTAAGAGATAGAAAAATATGAAAAAGGGAGTTATTTCTGGGATAAATTATCTCAAAGTACTAACAAAAATGTTATTTATTTTAAAATATAAATAGATTTATAAAATTTAGATAAATAAGAATCTCATATAGATAAAATGAAATTTATTTAGAAATTATTTTTGGAAATAGAAGCAATTTTATTTGTTATAAACGGAAAAAATGCAGGAGCAGATGATACTACACCTATTTTAATTAATATATTATTAAGATCATAAGCAGATAAATTAATTTCGAATTTTAAGTCTTTTTTTTTAAACATCTCTATATATATTTTTAAATCATAAAAAAAGCTTTATTTAAACAATGCTGGTATAAAAATATACGTAAATGGATTCTGGATTTCTTTATACATATACTTAATTTTAAGGAGCGATAAAATATATTTAAGAATTAAACGTGGAGAATATTATCGAAAATAATTTAAAAAAAGAAGAAGACATAAAAAGGTAATATATATAATAATTTTTAAAACAAAATATAAATATATATATATATATATATATATATATATATATATATTAATTTTTAATTTTTAATAATTTTATTTTTTAAAGGTTTTAATAATATCATTAAGATTATAATAAATTAGCTAATAAGTAGTAATGAATTTTTTAAATTATAAAACATTTTATTTTATTACTTTCTAAAAATTCTTAAAATTAAATATATCTATATTATATAAAATTTAACTTTTTTGTTATTATTATATTCTTTATATTACATAAAAATTTAAAAATAATATAAATTATAAATAAATATTTTTCATTTTTAATTTGTAAAATAAATATAAAAAATAAATAATAATTGATAAAAATAAAATAAAATAGATATTATATATAATATTTATAAAATATTATTATATAATTAAAATAAAAAAATGCTTCCTATTTTTAAAATATTTTCATTAATAATAAGAGTTTTAGCAAGACCAATAATTTAAAAAACATAAATAAAACATACACAGTAAAATTCGGACAAATTTTAAGATATAAAAATAAAGCAATTTTTTATCTGGTTGGGAAATACTTCATATAAATTAAATACAAAAATAAATAGGAAATTTAACAAATTAGAAAATAATGATTATAAAATTATTGAATTAAATGAGAATGCTGCTATTGAAAAAGGAGTAGAAACTTATTATGAAATTATAATTTATTTCTGTATTTTAGTTCTTCCCCTTATTGAAATTACTAGGTCTTATGCTTAAAGCTTTAATAAAGAATAATTGTTCAATAAATAAATAGAAAAAAGCGAAAAAAAAATAGAATAAGTTAATAGCGATAATGAATATTATATTAAGTAAATGGATAATTTAATTATTATTAATTAAAAACTATAAAATAATTTAAACAATCTTAAAGAAGAAATGCAATATAAGCATAATTTAGAATAAGAAATAGATTCCTTAGTTCTTAGTGATAATTTTAGCACAGATTAAATTTTAAGTTATTTAAAAAAAGTTTAATAAAAATGAAATTTTTTAAAATCTATTTTCAAAAAATATAATTTTTGATAAAAAAATCGTTATTTATTTTAAATAAAGTTTATTTATATATATATATATATATATATTAAGATTTAAACATTATATATTTTATGATTAAAAAATAAATAAAAAATAATAAAATTTTCTTTTATTTTTAATTTTTTTTTGTTTTTTTTTAAAATAAATAATTTTTTTTTTTTTTTATTAAATTATAAAAATGAAGAGAAAATAAGAATAGTTAGATTTTACTTAAACATAAATAATAGATTAATTAGATTAAGTATAAAAATATTAAAAACTAAATGAAGAAGATCAAAATTAAAACATGTTTTAAGATATGAATTAAGAAAACGAATAAAAAATATAAAGTTTAAAATAAGTAAATTATATATTAAGAGAATTTTACTTTAATTGAAATAAATAAAAGTCTGTATAGAAATTATTTTTAGATATAGAAGAATCAATAAAAGAAAAAAAATAAGCTAAATATTAAAAGTATAATAACAAAAAATACCATTATTAATCATTTTTAATAAATAAAAATTATTTTATATTAGCTTTTTAAAAGAAACCTAAATTAAATAATTGAAGAAAAATAAAATATCACAAATTAAGAATTAAACTATGCCATTTTAGGAATTTTCATTAAAATTTTATGTTAAGAATAAATATAAGGCATATATTATTTACAAGTATATTATATTTAATTTCTTTTTTATTATATATACAAAAAAAAAAAAGAAAGGTGTATCTAATTAATTGGATATATATATAATTTAAAATGAAATTTACTATAATTAAGATTTATTAGAAATATTATTAAATATAGTAAATAAATAAAAATAATTAATAATTTTTATTTAAAAAATAAGATTCCTATAGTAAAAATAGAATAAATAAAAGAAGATATATTCATATTAATATATAAAATATTCAAAAAGAATTCATAAAAATATATATAAATTTTACAAAAAGGTTAATATTTAGAAGAAAAAATAATTAACTTGAAACCTTAAATAAAATTTAAATACTTTAAAATGTTATTTAAAAGTTTCAAACTAGAATAAAGTTAATATTTAGAATCTAAAATTTATCCGGAAATATTATTTTGGATAAAAAGTAAAGAGGAAATAAGTTAAAGAGCACTAAGATTTATTTTAAAAAAGACATTTTTACAATAAAGAGTTTTGGAAGAAATTTTAAGCTAAAAGTTAGTTTTGAATGAAAATTCACAAAAAATATTTTTTTAATACATATGTATGAAATTTAAATAAAAAATAGATTTTTTTTCAAAAAATTAATTATAATCGATTTTCGAATATACTAATAATTCTATAAGATCATTAGAAAAAGGAATAATACTGGAAGCATCTAAAGTATTTCATAATTTTCCTTTGTTTGATGAACCAAAAATATTGAATATGTTAAAATTAGAATCTTTTTCAGACTATTAATAGGAAAAAGTTGAGTAAATAATTCTTTAAAAAACAAAAATATACTTTGAAACATAATTATGGATCCATATCACATTTACTAGAAGATGAATTTAGCAAAATAAGGAAAAGTGCTATAAAAATAATATAAAATTTCGGAAGACAAAGTAAAGTATTTACACAAGAAGTGCGCGAAATTCTATTTTACATGCTCAATGACGAAAACGATTCAGTCAGAATAAAATCAATAAAAGTATTAAGCTAAATATTCGAAGAATAGTAAGAATTAACAAAGGAAGAAATGAGAAGTTTAATATTTAATTTGAAGGAAAAAGTACTTTCTTTAAGGGTTGTAATATATGATTTTTTAGGGAAAATTTAATACAAAAATATGGAATAATTAAATTAAATTTTAGACGTGAGTTTACTCAATATATAAAATGATAAAGAATTTATTAACGAAATGAGCAAAAATATCGGAATAAGAAATTAAGAGTTGATTTAGGGAAATATATGTAATATTCTATAAATTAATGATATTTTTTTCGTTTAAGAGCCTTCGTGGAAAAATCCGGCGCATGTTTAAAGGATAATCCTTATTGCAAATTCTTTCTAGAATATTTTTGACTTGGAAGAGAAAAGTAGGCTTTTATTACCTTAGTATTTTGTTAAATAATGCTTTGTACTTTTTGATGGGTTTGGGTAGTTTTTTAGGGAAAGCTTCTTTTGTGTGGGATTGGATGATAAATTATAGGAAGGGAAGAAATAATAATTTGAAGATTCATAAATAGATTTTGATTGTTTGATTAGAAAATGCTGCTTTTTATATAGGTTGGTAGTTAATTAGGAGTTTGAGGAAGTTTGGGTTAAATCTTTTGTTGAAATTCTGTAGATTATTTATAATATTAAGTCAGGGTTTTGTTAAAAATAAGGAATATAGAAAATACTTAATGTCGCTTTATTGGGATTATATGTGGTTTTGCCTGGTTTTTATTTAGAAAAAAGTGGGTTTTTTGATTTTGAAAATGTAAAGTTTATTAAAAGTGTACTTTATTTGAAGAATTTTGTCGAGGAAGTTTTTTAAAAATAAAATGGGGGAATTTTAGATGAATTTTATGGGGAAGTTTTTTTATTTAATTTAGAGGTGTAAAAAAATGTATAGAATTTTTAAAAAAAGGAAAGTCTTTTTACTTTTTATTAAAGGATTTTAGAAAAAAATTAGTTGGAGAAAATTTTTAGTGATTGTTTGGAAAATTAAACAGAGTACGAAAAAATAGAAAAAAAATCAGGAAAAATAAATCATTTTTATAATGAAAAAATTGTTGTATAATCGAAATATATAGCATAAATACCTTTTTAGGCGGTAATTTAAAATCTTAATGATGAAAATAGAAAAAATCTATAAATTTGGGTAGTTTATGGAAATGGCAATGAAGAAAAATTTAATATTATTTAAGATGATTTTGTTCACTTATAAAATTTATTATTTCAAGTTTAAAGTACTTTGTTTTTGTAAAAAATTACATGGACTACAGAATCTTAAGCATTTGTTTAACTTATTCTTAATTAAGAATTTTAGGAATTTAATGAAGTTTTAAAACTCTTACCTTTGGATTAGAATGTTTAAAATTTTAAAAGCTATTATGTACTTGATAGTTCAGATTATTTTAATATTTAAATTAAATCAAAAATATGAAAAAAAGAAGTTAGTTCTTTTAAATTTTATATTATAAATGAGATATATTTATATCTTTTTATATATTTTAATTATACTAATGTGGTATTTTTCTGGGTTAATTGCTATTAATAAATTGTATTTAATAAGCTTAAATAATTATAAATATTAAATTAATCTTTATTTTTATAATTTTTTAGAAATTTAAAATATTAAATATTTATTATTTTTATATTTAATAATTACAAAATTAAATACTTATTTAATTTATTAAAAAAAACATTGAATTAAAATTATAATTTTTATAATAAATAAATCCGAAAAAAATAAAATAATAAATAATTATATATAAAGATTATATAACTATATATAAATATAAAATAAATATATTTTAATATTAAAGCAAAAATATTAATAATTTATTGTTTATTTTTATAAACATTAAATTCAATTATATAATTTATAATAATATAAAAAATCGTATTAATTTTTTGAATGCGTTATTTATCTAATATTATATATATTACAAATTTTATATATAACGCTTATTGTAATTATATATTTTTTTTAATTGCTTTAAAATCTGTCTATATTATATTTCATAAAAATAATAAAAAAATAATGATTAAATTAATAATTTTTATATTATAATTATTAGAAAAAAATTAAAATAAATTAAAGAAAAAAAAAATAAAAATAAAAATAAAAATAAATAAATAAAATAAAGTAAAATAAAATAAAATACGTATATGAGCTTCTTAGAGACTCCTATTTCTAATATTGACATCAAATTTAATTTTAATAATATAAATTTATATCCTAATTAAATATAATCTAATTCTGATTATTTTTAAGATAAAAAACAGGTGTAGTAAATAGAGAAATAAATAGAAAAATAAATAATTTAATAAAAATAAAAACCTGAAAAATATAATGAATAATTGTTAGTGGATAATTATGAAAAATTTTAAAGTTAATTTTCAAATTTATAGAATTAATAAATTATATTTTCTTAAAGTGGTCATGTAATAAATTATGAAAATAGAACATACTTAAATATATTTTCTGATGAGAATCAAAGCTTATCATGCGTAGTAGGATATATTTTGATATTATTTTCTTTTTTAATATTTACAACTATTACTTATTTTATGTTTATGCGTATAGCTTGTGTATCTGTAAATTAAAAATTAATAGATTTTATTTAAAAAGATGATTATTATGTATTTAATTTACCTTTAAGTTTATTTGTTAGTATTTTATTTATTTATTTTAATTGGGCTTGCATGAAATTCTTTAAGCATTCTTGAAAATGGTTATATAAATATGAATATATAATATGCAAATGCATTAAAATAATATTTTTACTATATTTTTCTTTTTAAAACTTTATCAAAAAAAATAAGCTATTTATATTAATGATTTATAAAATAATTAATATTTTTAATAACAGTTTTTTTATAAAATAAATATATTATAATAAATTAAAAATAAATAAAAAATACTAATTTAAATTATATATTTTAATGTTTTTTTTTATTTATAAAAATAATATTATTATAAAATATATAGATAAATAATATATATACAATATATTTGAATTTAAAATATATTAAATAATTATTTTATTTTATTTATATTTGATATAAATTTAATATTAATATTTTAAAAATGAATAATTTTTATATATAATAATAAAGCCAAAATTCAGAAAAAGTAATATAAAAAAAATTTTTGAAAAATACGCATATAAATTATATCATAAATATGTATTTTATAAATATTATTATATATCTATATAAATTATAAAGAAATGTTTAAATATATGATATAATTAAATATTAAAAGTTCATTTTTTAATTATCAGTGAAGCTTCAACATCTTAGAATTCTTAATCAAGATTTCTTTAATTAATTTAAGTGTCAAGAAATTATGAATTATTTTCATATACATTTTTAGAGAGAGAAAGACGATTATTTTAAAATGAAATTTTATCTTCTTTCAAATCAATTAATTTTAAAATACTTCTTCCATTTTAAAATACAACATTTTTTATTTTATCATTAATTAAAAGATTATCTCGTAATAAAACAAGTGTTCCAAATTTAGATTTTTTATCATGAATAAATAATTGATTATTTTAAAAAGTAAATTAGGCATGATTCCTAGATACTGAAATATCATTAATTTTAATATCAGAGTTTTATTAACGGCCAATTTTAAATTTATCTTTTTCACTGATATCTATCAAAATTACTCCAAATTAATCTGTTTAGTTATTACTATTAAAAAATTCGAATATTAAGTATTTTTTATTCTTAGTTTTCTCAAAGAATTTTTCGAATATATTAAAAGCTTGGTTGCCTTTTGTTATCTCTAATGGATAGTTTATTTTACATATCTCACATAAAAAACATTATGATGGAATTATTGTGCAGTATTATGATTGTTATTAGTAACAGTTTTAATTTTCAACCCTTTTTTATATCCATTATTATAAACATTAGATATGAGTTTAGGATATTGATCCTGTACAACTACAACAGTTTATTAATGGATCTTCTATTATTTCTTTATTTCCTAAACATATTTTACAATACGGCCTATTTTCGGATGTTAAGGATATTTATGAAAATTTCTAACTTACTTCTATTGATTATTTTTACTATTATTAAATTGGGGTTAAAGCTAAATTATTTTCATTAATATTTTTATTTTAACTAAATATTTATTTTAAGGTCTATTTTTCAAATAAATTAAAGTTTAATAATTTTTTTTATTACTTTTGATATATTTCCATTATAAACAATTTTTATTAATTTTAATTAAATTCTTCCGAATCTAATATAATCGTTTTCTAAAAGGCGAAAACCAGTTTTTTTTTGTAAACTTTTAATGCTGCTTATTGATATCCATACACTTTTATTAGAAGGTTAATTGTTTTCTAAAATTTATCTTAAAAAATAATTGTTTTCTTCTTTTTAAAAAGTAAAAGAATCTTCAATATAGTCGATTGAAGATAAAGTTTGGTTTTCTTATAAAAATTATATTTGACCATTTAATATTTATATTGTTCCAGATTTTTAAACTTTCATTTATGTAAAAAATATTTTTTCACTTTAATAATCATATAAATGATTTTAAGTTTATTTACTGGTCATTATATTTAAATATATAATTTGATTTGTTATTTATGATGTTTAGTTTGGATTTTTTGCAATATTTAAAGATTAGGAATATATTAATTATTATTATGTGGAATGTTTATTAGAACTTTAAATAAATATTTCATTCATATCTATGTTAGAATTATCATTTTAAGGAGAACATAATTTTAAAGTATTACCCATAAAGATTTTTCTTTTACAATTTCTTGTATTTTTTTATTTTTTTCTCTTTTTAACTTTCTATAATTTTTAATAAAAAATTTAATTTTTTTTGTTATATTTTCTTATTTTATTATTAACATAGTTATATCTTTGAATTTTAAATGATATATATTAATAAATTATCTTTATTTTTATTGGTATTAAATTTATTATTTTTAAATATATGAATATTTTTTCATATAAAAATTATTATATATTTATGTAGATTATGATTATTAAATTATTAATCAAATAATTAAATAAAAAAAAATTTTAATAAAATATTTTGATAAAATTAAAATGTAAATGAAAAAAATATTAAATAAAAAAATATATTAATATATATATATATTTAAATATTAATTTAGATAAATAAAATAAATATAAAAATATATAAAAAATTATATTAAAAAAATTTATTTTATTTTATTATATATTTTATATATATAATTATATTTAAAATCCATTATTTTGTTTTATTTGTTTAAATAATTAAAAAATCGTTAATAATAAAAAATCAATTTTAATAATAGAAAATGAATAATTAATCCTTTAATTTATTTAAAATTTCATAAGATTATTCTCTTAATAAATCTTTAAGTTCTAAAAAAATATCTAATTTATATAATAAATAATCGAATAAAAGCCTAATCATAAATAATATTTCATAAGGTTCATTTAAAAAATATTTAAGATAATCTATCCATCAGAAGACTAAAGAATAAAAATAATTAGAATACCGTTCTTAATGGTTACGAAAAGATTCTAGTAAATACTTCTAAGACATTTAAAGAAAACAAAAATAATATAAAGATAAAAATAGTACACAAGGAGTTTGGTAAAATTTAATTAATAAAACTAGCGATAATGAAAATACTTCAAGACCATATTCATTAAATAGAGAAAGTGTTAATACCAAGAGAGTTCTTTATCCAGAATAGTAGGAAACTCCGAGATTTAGTTTATGTTTTAAAACTGTTTTAGAACATAAAAATAATTAGAAATAATTATCAAGAGATAATAGTATTAAATAAAGGGGAATATTGCCAGATACAGAAGGTAGGGAAGTATTTTTAGGAAGAAGAAAACATATATAAGGAAAATAATCTTTAGATTTAAGTTATGGAAAGTTTGTTGAGAAAAATAATTATGAAAATAGATTAGCAAATAAATATAATAAATTTCATAATAATGGAATGCATGAAATAATAGGATAATAAGGTATTTATAAAGGATAAAAAATAATATAAAATAAAGAAAACTAAAATTATGGAGAATTTGCCTCTTATTTTTTTAATTATGAAGTTGATAATAAATAAAAAAACAATTCGGTTTATTCTAAATTAAATTCAAATTAATAAAGAAAAATGAATAATTATTATTATATGAAAAATTATGCAGGAGATAATATTTGGAAAGATAATTTAAATTTAAGTTCTAATAAAAGTATATCAAGAGATTATTAATAGACTTATAAATGTTTTTAGGAAAATTAAGATTTTTGGAATTAGTTTAAAGAAAACTCTTTTTGGATTTAAGAAATTAAGTTAAAAGAAAGTTAAAATAATCAAGTTTTAGTAGATTAAAAATAAAAGTTTTATTAAAAAAAAATAGTTAAGATATTTAAATTAATAAATTTAATGCTTCTTAAAAAAATTAGATAAACTTAAATTAGAAATGATATATTGTTATATTATATATATATTAAAGGATTAAAAATTATATTGTATATATATTATTATTACTTATATTAATATTATTATTTATTTAATATAAAAATTTATATATATCTTTCTAATATGAAAAATACTATTTATTAAAATAATTCATATAATATTATAAAAATATAATTTTGTTTAATTAATTGTTTTCAAAGAATTACTCAAAATCATATAAATTAAATTATAATAATTATTAAAATTTATTGAATATTTTTTTATTAAAAATATTAAAAAATATTTTAGATATTATAATCAAATAAATTTTCAATTATGAATACAATTATTTATATTTATTATAATATATATATATATATATATATATATATATATATGTATAATATTATTTTAATATATTTTAATTAAATGCCATAATATTTTTTTAAATTAAATTATTTATATTGAAATATTTTATAAACATTGAACGAAACCTATTTACTTCTTATAGATTAAAATTAGATAGAGTAGTCTATCGAAAATTACATTTTAATTTTTATTTAGAATTATAAAAAAATATATAAAAATAAAATAAACAATAAAAAAATAAAAATAAAAAATAAAGAAAAAATAAAAATAATAAATATAGAAAAGAAAATAAAAACCTAAAAAAAAGAAAAAAAAGAAAAAACTAAAAAAAAAAATAAACAAACACATATAATAAAATAAAATAAATGAGTGTAATAGTTGCAGTAAGAGTTCGTCCATTTAATCAAAGAGAAATCGATCTAAATTCATAATTATGTATAGATATGGATGGTCCCCGTACAACTTTATTATGTTTAGAAGATTCTAAAAAGAACAAAGATTTTGCATTCGACTATTCATTTTGGTCACATGACGGTTTCGAATTAGATGGTAATAATTTAGCGATCCCAGTTTCAGATAAATATGCGGATTAACGACATGTATACAACTAGGTAGGATAATAAATATTAGATAATGCTTGGTAAGGATATCATTGTTGTTTATTCGCATATGGGTAAACTGGTGCTGGTAAAAGTTACTCTATGGTTGGTTATGGAGCAAATAAGGGAATTGTACCAATTGCATGTTAGGAAATATTTAAAAAAATTGAAAGTAATACAAATCCGAATATTATTTATGAAGTTTAATGTTCTATGTTGGAAATTTATAATGAGACTGTGTAGGATTTGTTAGTTAATGTTACTAAAAGACCTGTGGGTGGGTTGAAAATTAGATAAAATACATCTTTAGGATTCTATACAGATGGTTTAAGTAAACATCCTGTAGAAGACTATGATTAAATAGAAAAACTTATGGATGGAGGTACTTAAAATAGAACTGTGGCTGCAACTTAAATGAATGCTTCTTCTTCTAGGGCTCATACTATTATTGTAATTGAATTCAAGTAAACAGAGACTAAGGATAATAACAGAAAATTCGAAAAACTTTCGGTTATTAATTTAGTAGATTTAGCGGGGTCAGAGAAAGTGGGAAAAACAGGAGCAGAAGGAGCTCGTTTGAAAGAAGCGTCAAATATCAATTAGTCTTTGACTACTTTAGGGAAAGTTATTTAAACTTTAGCAGAAAAAGAAATGGGAAAATCAAAAGGAGCAGTTGTGCCTTATAGAGAAAGTTGCTTAACGAAAATTCTTTGTAATGCTTTGGGAGGAAACTCGAAGACTTTGATGATTTGTGCAGTTTCACCTTCAAGTGATAATTGGGAGGAAACTCTTTCAACTTTAAGATATGCGGATTAAGCTAAGAAAATAAAAAATAAAGCTACAGTAAATGAAAGTGCTACAGATAAATTAATAAGAGAATTAACTCAAGAAAATGAAAAATTGAAAATTTTCATGCAGAAGTTTTAGGAATAATTTGGAATAAATTTAGATTCTATGGATGTTTCCTCACTTTAGAAATTAGACACAAAATAAGTTAATATTTAAGAAATTTTGATCAAAAAAGAATAAATGGAAGCTAATGAACATTTATTGGTTGATGCAACAAAAACTAAGAAATAAAGAATCGAAGAAAATAAATAATACGAAGATTAAAAACCTTAAATTGATCTATCTAAACCTTACCTTACTAATATTCATGAAGATCCTTAACTTCATAATAAAATTCAGTGTACTTTAGATAGATAAAAAACTATTATAGGTAGTAAATATGCAGAACCGAAAGCGGATATTATTGTAGGGTTGACAAAACATAATATAGCAGAAATTGTTTATGAAAACGGGATAATTTTCATTCAGCCAATTTAAGGGTAAGACGAGAGCTTTATTTTACTTAATGGATGCCCTGTAAGAAATAGAATAGAGTTGAAAAATTTAGATAGACTTATTTTTTCGACTACTTCGATGTTTATTCTTATGGATTAAAGTAGTCAATCAAGAACCGAGGGGCTGGTTTTTAATTAGATTGATTTCGAGTTTGTATAAATAGAGAGAAATAAATATATGGAACTAGAGAATAAACTTAGAGAGTAGGAAAATGAATTCAGAAAATAATAAGATGAAGAAAAAAAAGTGGAATAGTAAAAACTTTGGGAAGATGAAAAAAAAAAATTGGAAGAATAAATTAAATAATTACAAATGTAACCTCCTCCTCCTCTTCCGACTATGAAAAAATAATGTTCTGAAAAAATAAATAAATATAAAGATAAAAATTATCTAGAGCATAAATTGTAAAAGTATTTGCCTAAAGTACTCGAAATTAATCTTATTGCAAAAGAACTTAAACGAAAAGTTACTTTGTAAGCCAAAATAGCATAAATATATGAAGAAAATGAGGAAAAAAAAGACGCTTAGAATATCATTAATATCAAATCAAAGGTTTAAATTTAAGTTGATAATAAAGAATTGGGATAAGTCTATATTTGGGACCATACTAAGTTTAACGAGAGGTATTATATGATTAAAGATTTATTAGAAAAATACTTCGAAACTAATACATTACCTGTCATTGACCCTTCTAATGACCCTTTTTGTGACCCTCCAGAACCCCATTTAATTGGAAATGGATACTTTAAGTTACTTTATTTGGCTTATTTTATGGATTCGGTTATGGATTTATCTATTGTGGGAGAAAATGGGTAATGTGGATCTTTAAATGTAAGTATTATTCCTTGTAATGAGACTGGGGATATAAATTTATCTGAAAAAATGGAAAACGAGTCTTGTGAAGAAATTATTGAAGATCCGAATTAACTTTTAGGAAGAACTCTTTATTTTAAAATTAATATTTAAAAAGCTTAATTGCCTGAGGCTTTTTGTAAAGACTCGTATGTGGAATATTCTCTAATGGATTAATATGGAAAAATATAAATCTATAGAACAGAAACTATTGTGGGAAAAAACTCGAAACCTAATTATAATTATTCGAAGATTTTTTGTTATGAAAATCTTAATTCGGAGCATCTTAATTATTTTATGGAGAGAAATCTTGTATTTAAAGTTTTTGGATTTGAAGAAATTTAAATTGATAGGAAAAAAAGTGAAGTTAATAATTAAAATCTTAATTAAAAAAGAATCGAGTTGTAAGACGGGAACAGTGAAGAATAAGAAGGTAAGAAAAAAATAGAAGGAAAAAAAGAAGTAGAAGGAGATAGTGATAAAAAAAAATAAAAATAAGATAAAGGTGAAGGGAAAAAAGATAAAGAAGATTGCAATATTTATTGATTTAATTTAAGTTTTTTTTATTATTATTATTATTATTATTTAATTGATGATTTTAGTTTATTTCATTTTTTTAATACTCTTTTATTTTTTAATATTATAAATTATGCAATTTGATAAAAATTATCTTTGTATTATCAATTTTATATATTATATATTTTTATTTAATAATAATGATAAATAAAATACTTTATAAAATTTTATTATTTATTTTAAATAAATATCTTTTTTTTATATATATATAATTTTATCATATTTTAATTTTTTTATATATTATAAAAATAAGATTTAATCGAAATAAACAAAATTATAATTATTTAAAATTATAAAAAGATATTTATTATTTCTTTCATTTAAATAAAATAAAATAAATGGATTAATAAAATGTTACTGATTAATTATTAAATTAAGATATTGAAAACAAATAAATTTAATAGTAATAAGTTAATATTTAGGATTAATAATTAATTTCTCCTTAATATTCATAAGAAGCACATTCTTAATAATAATAACCTTAGTTATGGTCTTCTTAATAATATTAGCAATAAAATAATAGTTCGAATTAATAATAAGCATATTTTCCTCCACCTCAATACTAACAATAATACTCAAATATTTAAAATCCTGATGAACTTATAAGAATATTCGCTTGCTTTATAATAGGGTTAACATCCATAATACTAAATTCTGTTTATATGTAATCTTGCAATCTTAGTACTTTATCAATTTACATAGGTTCAGGAGCAGTGCTTATTATTATTCCTATTATTATTTATGTTTACTAATTCAAAAAAAAAATGAATTCAAGCATTATATAGTTTTATGGATGCCTTATTAGTTTTTTTTTCATGATTGTTATTTCTGTTTATATTGATTAATATGACTTTTCTTATTATATAGATAATAAATGTTCTAACTAAGTTTTAGATACTAATATTACAGCCTAATTAATGTGTTGTCTTCATGCAATTAACACAGTTATTTATTTTGCTAATTTATGGCAAATTAATAAAAACTTAAAAATTTTCATTGTAATAGAAAAATTTTTGTTAAGTTTAATTTGAATAATATTTATTTTTTTAAAACAAAAAAAAAATAACAAAATCTTTAAAAATTTTTTTTTTTATAAACATTAGTTTTAAATTAAATTTGTATTTTATTTTTTGTTAATAATAAATAAAAAACACAAATTATTTATCTTATTAAATATATATTTATTTATTTTTTTTTAAAAAAATTTGGGGTAACTTTTTTTTTGTTCTTGTTTTTTTTTTTCATGAATTAATTAAATTAAGTTCTTATTATATTTCTTTAAAAATGCTTTGTAAACATTAAGTAATAGGTAAGTATTCACAAGTAATAAGTTCTATAAAAAGTGAAAATAAATAAAACAAATGACCTTTTTTATTATTCATATTTTAATTGCCATTATTTATAATAATATATTTAATTTATGGAACATCAGATTTATTATTATTAAATTCCTATTCCTATTCATTATTATTATTTTACAATTAAAATTGTTAGTTCACTTACTATTATTATTCATTATTTTTATTTTCGTATTTAAAACATTAATTTTATAATTCTAATTTAAGCAAAGATTAAAGAATAAATAAAACCTCTTCAGCTTTTTTTTTATATTAGGGATTATTTATTTAATTTTTAGATGTTTTTTCTTCCTTTATAAAATCTTCAATTATTTATTTACACCTTAAAATCAAAATAGGGAGAACTATTTTTGCTACTTCTTCAAATTTCTTGTTTTTGGAAGATTTAGCTTTAGCTAATAAAAAAAAATTCGAAATGTAATTTTTGCGAATTTCTAAATCATTATTTTCGTTAATTTCTTATAAATCTGTACTTGTAGTATTTTCTGAGGTTTTCTTTTTAGAATCTATATAGTTTTCGAGAATTTCGATCATTCTAGATATTATATATTCGTCTAATTCTTGTTCTTCAGAAAGCATTTATTCGATAATAAATTCAATACAAACAGCTTCTATTTTAATAATCTCTTTTTTTATATAATCTTACATATCAACTGGAAGTATATCTATTTAAAAAAATTATGTTATATATATATATTATTATTTTTTAAAAAAAGAATAACATATTTTTTCTTTTGGTCTTTTAAGCAAATTTTCAATAATAAAGAACAATTCGGTATAAAATTTATTTTTTTAAGAGAAATTTTTGGCTAAATAAATGAATTATTCAAAAACGAAAATCCATAAAGGGACATATTTTTTAATTTATAATTTTTAACTATGAAGTTCAAAATAATCTTTATCGAATCTCAATTCAAGTATATTTTCTATTTTGGCGAAATAATATTTCGTAAAAATATCTTATAGTTCACCTGGCATAGATTAATTAAGAATTACATTTTGGAAAATTTTCAGAAATTTCTTATTCATTAAATATGATAATCTACTGTCTACTCTTATATTAATAAGCTCGTTCATAAAAAGCATAAATTCATTTTAAATTTGAAAATTTGTCTTTTCAAGAACTAATATACCTATATTTTCAACATAATCGTATATTTAGCGAGCGTTTTCATCTTAAAATAGTAACATTCTATGCGAAGAGTTCATAAAATCAATTCTTTGGCAAAAATTAAGGGAGCTTTTGTAGAAATCTATGTATAGATTTACAATCATTCCGCTTCTAGATTCTATACCTCCTGCACATAATAGTAAATTTTCGAAAGTTTCAATTATTTCCGGAATTGTCTCAGTTATAGATATCCTAGAATCTGATTACTTGTCATTTTCTATGTCTAAGCCAATAAATTCCATTGTGGATTAATATTGTAAAATAAAATCTTTGATTTCGTCGATAATTTTGATACCTAAAGAACCTTTATTTTGTACAAAATCTTTAATAATTTTAAAAAACTCCAAAATAAGCTATTAATTATTAATTAGAATGCCTTATCTGCCTTTTGCGATTATACTTAAGTATAAATCGATAAAATTATCAGCATTGAATCCTTTTTTGAGTATTTTTTATAAAGATTAGATTAATATAATGCATGTTTCTTCCCATGCTTTGGTCTTTAATTTTTAGGAATTTTACATTTGGGAATGAGCTAGGACTTTGCTCAAATCCTAAGAGGAAATTTAAAATTTCGGAGTTTCGGAAATACCGAAAAATTTAGGAGTTTGTAAATGAATTTAATATTAGGGAGAGTGAATGTTAATTTGATTATTTAAAGATGAGGTGTTTTCTTCGAATTATTGGAGTATTTTATGTATTAACTTTTCGATGTTTTTTATATAGATCTCTTTTATTATATGAAACCAGAATTTTTTGCTAAAAAATATACTGTTAGTCATAAAAAGTTACGTTAAGGTAACTATTGCGGATTATCTGAGCTCTTCTAGGGGTTCGTTTATTATATTTATTAATTTCTAGAATAAACTTTCCCATAAAAGCTCTATTTCGACTAGTTGCTATTGTTTTAATTAATTGTTATCTATATTTTCGTCTTTTAAGAGATTTTAGTGTAGCTTGGCTAATTGATCGCCTATATTCCAAAGGAATTCTACAGATTAATATATTGAGTTTTTATCTTCTATTTAATTTATTTATTTATGTTTTTTTTTTTTTATATTACTTGATGATTATCTGAAGTTTTCTATTAGGTCAATTATTATTTTTAATTAATATCTATTTATTATTGTAATATGTTAGTTTATTATTATACTTAAACATTTTAAACCCTATGTTAGAGTGTTTTGGAATTATTAGCCTGTAGATACAATTTGGAGAATATCTAAAATTACTAAATAACCGTTTTAGTTGATTTCATGACCATTGTTTTGAATAATTTTTATCAAATTTAATAAAAATATATCCTATGTATCAGTAAATTAGGATAATATGACTTCTTTATAAGGCATAAGTAAAGATTTTTGCCAATTTTATTGATTCCAAGAGTCTGTTTCTTTGAATTTTTAGATTACTTTTTTCAAGTTTTTTTTATTTTTTTAAGATGGGGAATAAATGTTTGAACTAAAATAATTAAAAGCATTATTTATGATATTATTTAGTATATCTATAGAGAACATTCGCAAATCGCCTTATTTTTCGGAAGATAGAAGTATTAAATGTGGAATTATTAAACTCCAGAATAGATCTATTCTTGATATATTAACTAATACTGTTTCTTTTAATTTCAAAAATCCAAATTTTTTACTATTTAATTCAAAAGGTTTTTTTTATTATTATTCAATTGTTATTTATTCTAATATTGACAAATTTAATTAATTTAATGAATCAATTACTATAATTAACAAACTATCCTTTTTTTTTTTTAAAAAAAAAAAAAATATACATATTTCTAATTATTAATGTTTTTTTAATAAAAATACATCAAATATATCACTGGAAGAAAACAATTTACTCATTATATCTGATAATATTTATAATTCAGATTAGACTAGTAAATCTTCTTCTTTTTATGGTTTATTATTATCTATTTAAATCAATTTTTTATTAAAAAAAGTATCTAATCTTTACATTGTTTATAACATTATAAACCATGAGCTTTTTCCTAATTTTCCTTTTTTATTTTTTTGATAAAAAGATATTATTTTTTGTTGAATAAAAACCTCCTAAGCAGTGTGCAATATTAAAAAGTATTTTTGTAGATTGAATTTCAATAGGTTTAAGTATGTGTTCATCATTATTTTTTTAAGGAAGACAATTATTTGCTAAAATTTTAATATATTAATCACAAATTTTATATAATTATAACGATCCTGCAATATTAATCCAATTTTATATTTAATTTAAGAGATTTTAAGAGTACTATTCACTAACTTATTTAGAAAGTAATTATTTGATAATTCTTAAATTATCTTTCCAAATTAAATTTATTATATTAGATATTTCATTATTATCAGGAATTTAATTTTGTATTTTTTCTTATCTTTCCTAATATATTTTCATTAAAGATTCAGTCAAATGATTTATTACTTCAACTTAAATTTATAAATATATATATATGAAAAAATGAAATATATATTTTACTTAATAAACTATAAAACATATTATAACTAATTAAAGGAGGCTCAGTACTTTAATATTCTATTTCATTTCTTTCGAGTATTTTTCCACCTTTAATATTAGTGTTTATTTATTTTCTTAATTCAGCATCAGGAAATTAGGAAATACTTTAGGCCATTAGAAGTGTAATTTCTAAAATTTTAATTAAATTGCGTTCTCTGGAAGCATTTTTATCTTATTAATCATTAAGATTATTGTTTGCTTATTCAAAAGAAATATAAATAAATTTAGGATTATTTAAACATAAACTAAATAATTCTGCATACATAAATGTGTATATGTAAATTTTATTTATTGATTTATTAACTACATATATTTTCTATAATATTTCATTATATCCAAAATAATTATTGACTAAAATACTACTTAATTATATAATTCGAATCCCAAATTTAAATTCAGTGTAATCTTAACTTATATTTTCAATAGCAAAAGATACTAATTTGTTTGTTATTTATTCTTCTATTTATTTACAATACTTTACATGTCTTCCTATTTATTTTAAAAGGCTTAATAATAAATCAAAACCTATTTCCTAATATGAAATCAATAACCCATTTATATTTTGAGGAACCCATTCAGGTAATTATTTATCTAACATTAAAGAAATTATTTCGTTAAATAATCTAAGACATATACTTATTAATATAATAAAAAAAAAAAATTTAGGTATTATTATAAATATATATATGTATATAATAGTTTAAATATAATATATATAAAAAAAATAAAAAAAAATATACTATATATAAATATATATATATATATAAATATTTATATATATATTATATAATCAAAAAAATAAATTATCAGAAATTATAAAAGAACAATTTTTTTATTTTTGATTCTGTTTTTTAAAAAAAATTAAAAAAATAATAAATAAAAAAATTAATTCAATATATATATATATATATATATATATATATATATATATATTTATATATATATATATATATATATACATTTATATTTATTTCTTATATTATTTTTATTTATATATATCTATAATTTTCTTACTCATTTATCTAATCACAATGTTCTTGCGAATAGCTAATTGTTTAAATTTCATCTTCTGAATTTCTTTTTATTTTTGTTTATTCTTTATTTTCCTCTTCATAAATTTTATTTTTTGATTCGTTTCCATCTGATTAAGAACCGCTTGAGTTTTCTAATTTTTATGTTTATTTTATGGAATTTATTAAATGCTAAAATACTATATGAATTAATTAAAATGGACCAGCTAATGATGTATTTCTAATCATTATATCTTTATTGCTTTATAGAACTAAACATATATTTAAAACCTTTTTTTTTAAAAAAAAAATATTTAACTTATATATTATATTTATTTTTATATTTTTAAATTTTGTTTTAATTTTTTATCTTTTTACTTTTGATATTAATTAATAATTTTTACAAAGAATTATTTTAGGGCTAAACAACATTAATAATGTTTAAATTATTTTTATTAGTATTTTATCATCTTTGCAATCTTTTTGGGAATATAAGTAATTTGTTGTTATAGCATAATTTTCTTCTTATAAATTTGGTTAAGTTATAATCTTTTTTAATAAACTAAGTCCTAATTCAAATATTTTAATATTTTTAATATCTTTTAACTGATTTATTATTTAAAAAAAATCATTAATTGGTAAATTATGTACTATACGATTTGTTTAAAAACTATTATTCCCATTTTAAAAAACTATTTTTTTTATGTTTTACAATTTGTTTATTTAGTCTTGTATTAACTATATTATTATAAATAAAAAGGAAACAAATTTTTATATTTATAGAATATAATTGTTATCTAAAATTTATTTACGTCTTTTAATTCAGGATTTTTTTTTTTTATTTCTATTAAAAGTGCTTATAAATCTTTATCTACATTATCTATAAAATTCATTTTTTTATTTTGAAGTTCTATTTGATTTTTTTTATTTTTTAATTATAAATTAATTTATTATTTAAATTAAATTAAATTATTTATTAATTCATTGAATAATTGTTTTTATAATAAATATTTTTTATAAATAAATATACTTTTTTTATAATTGAAATATATATTTGTTTCATTACAAAAATGTTTTTTACTTTTATAAGTGTTCGAATTTTTAAAGATTACACATATCTTAAATATAATTATTAATTTCTTATATAAATGTATTCTGATTATTTATTAAATTTCTTAACATAAATTGTTAGTAATTAAAATACATATGAAAAATTAATTTAATATATATTAATTTATTGTAATTATTAATATTATAATTCTTTTAAATATATTCGTTATAATTTATATGTAATAATATTAATAGAGGACAATTTATATATTATTTTTTTTTATAATAAATATTTTTTATTAAATTTATTTATTTTACAAGTATATTTTTATATAAATTAAATATAAATTTATAAATTCTTATTTAGTTTTTATTATATTTTTTATATTTAGAATAAAAAACTAAAACTAACTAACAATAAACGCATAATAAAATAAAAAGCTAATTAAATATATATATATCTTAATAAAAAAAAATTAATATTTCTACATTAAAAAAAAGTCAATAAAAAATGAAATTTATTGCTCTTATATCAGGAGGAAAAGATAGTATTTTTAACATCTACAAAGCAATTTAACAAGGACACGAATTAGTAGCTGTTGCTAATTTGTATCCTGCTTGTAAAAAATAATAATAATAATTAAAATAAACTTATTTATTTATTTTTTTTTAAAAAAAAAGAAATAGCAATGGAATAAGACAGTTATATGTATTAATCAGTAGGTACAAATATGGCAGAAGCTATTGCTGAATGCTTATAAATTCCTTTAATAAAAAGATAATTGAAAGGAAAACCTATAGTGCAAGATTTATATTATACAGGAACTGCTGAATAAAAGAAAGATGATGAAGTAGAAGATTTATATGAACTTTTATTAGAAGCAAAATAAAAATGGGATTTCAAAGGAGTTTCTTCAGGTGCGATAGCTTCAACTTATTAAAAGTTAAGAATAGAAGATGTGTAATATTAATTTTTATTTTTTTAGTAAATATGTTATTTTAATAAATAAAGTTGCAAAAGACTTGATTTGGAAAGTTTAGTTTTCCTTTGGGGAAGAAATTAATAAGAATTATTGAAAGAAATGATTGATAGTGGAATGAACTCTATTTTGATTAAAGTTGCTTCTTATGGATTAGGTAAATAACATCTTGGAATGTCTTTAAGAGATAATTATGATTAAATTATTGAATTGGTATTTTAAAAAAAATAAATAAAAATTCATATATTTATATTTTATACTCTACTTATATGTTTAAAATTTTAGAGTTAAAAATGCAATCTTAATATTTGTGGAGAAGGAGGTGAATATGAATCTTTAACTTTAGATTGTCCTCTTTATAAGAAGCGAATTGCTATGTAAATAATTTATTTATTTTATAAAACTTTTTTTTATTAGAGATGAAACAGATATACATATTCATTCAGAAGACAAATATGCGCCTGTTTTTTATTTATTTATTAAAAAATACTCCTTAGTAGATAAAAACTGATACCAAATATTTATATTTATAAAATAAAAGAATTCTATTTAAAATAATATAAAAAAGCCTTTTTTTTTAATAATAATTTTTTCATGTAATTTAATTTTCATAAAATATTATAAAAATAAATTTAATTAAATATAAAAAATTAAAATTTTATAAAAATTCTAAAATTCAAGGTATTCTCATATAACTTCTTGTATAAGGTACAATTGTACACCTTGCAAAGCCATTTAATGCAACAGTGGCATATAAAGGCTTTATTTTCAATCTTGAACTATTAATAATAAGATCTAAATTTTAATTATTTTTAAAAAACGATAACTATCCTAAATCCATATCTAATAATACACCAATAATAACTTGATTTTATATATTATAAGTATGGTTAATAAATTTAGACAACTATTCTCCCAAGTGTTTATTTCCAAATCCATCTTATAAATTTGAAAAAGCTATATTTTTATTAAAATTATTACTTCCAACAACACCTATAATTATTTAATCTATCATATCTTAAGATGTATGTATTTACCAATAATATTTTCCTTGCAAGAAACATTTTTCAGATACGACAGTCCTATATTTATTATCATCATAAATTGATTAAATTGTACGATTATTATTATTAAATAAAATTTCTGAATGAGAATTATATTAATCCCAATAAAACTCAAAGGAAGGACTTTAAAAGTTTGTATTTTCATCCAAATAGAATTTAATTTATTGCTTATTTTTATTGTTTTAAAGTTATTAAAGTGTTATTGTATTTTAAAGATTTCCAATATGTTATTCTTCTTCTTCTTTTTTTTCTATATTAATATTATTAAAGTTTCGTTTTAATTCAACTAAACTAGAATTAAATTGATATTTTTTTTATTATTTTTTATTTTCTTTATTTTTTTCTTAATTTATAATATTTAATTTCATTTAATATATATTATTATTAAGTGAATATTAGTTTTATTGGTTTTCATTTTTACAAATTGGGAATATATTTTCTTTATTATCTTCATATTGACTTAGAATATCTTTTAATTATTAATAAATAGCGTCATGATTGTCCTTATTTTTAATTATATTTAAGAATATGGTGCATACTTTTGAACACGTATATTCTTATTTTTTTTTACATTAAAGCTATTTTCCACAATTTTAAAAGTTTTCACATCTTTTATCTATTTTAAACATATGATCTTCTACTTATTTTAATTTTATTATTTAATTACAATCAGTACACAAGTAATCAAGTTCTCTATACATTGAAATTAAAGGCTCGGTTATTTTACTAATATTTATACCCTAACATGTTGTACATTTTTCATTACGTATTTATTTAATTTAGGTTTAGAAACATTAGAAACAATATATTGATCTATTTTTATTTTTTATATTTAAATTAAATATAAAATTACTTGCAAGTACTGCATTGTAAAAGATGGTTCGTTATATTTTAACATATTACACAAAATTATATTTATGGTATAAAACCTATAAAATTTTACTTTTGTAAAGTTATTTATTTTCTTTAGTTTATTTATATTTATTCCATTTTTTTTATTTATTTTTTGAAAATTAATATTATAAGTATTTTATTTTTTAGGCGATATTTATTATTAAAAATTATTGAATTTTAATTTTTAGTAATAATTTTATTTACAATTAAAAAAAATCTTAAACACTATTTATTTTTTATAATGATTTTAAAAAAAATATATATAATTAAAAATAAAAAAATTATTTTTTATATTTTTATAATAATTACATTAAAAAAGTAATAATAAATATAAAATAAAAAAAAAATATAATAAAAACATTATTAATAAATATAAAAAATAGAAATCATTCTTATTCTATTTCTGCAATAGGATTTGCATGAATAGTAACCTTATGTATTTTAATTTCGTTTAAAGGTTTATCATTACCATCAACAGGTTCCTTTTCCATCAAATCTAAGCATTCCCAACCATCAATTACCTTACCAAAAACAGTATATGATCCATTTAAATGATTTTATTTTGAAAAAGTAATAAAAAATTATGAAGCATTTGTATTTGGTCCACTATTTGCCATACTAACAACTCCTCTTTTATCATGCTTTAAATCGGGCATTATTTCATCTTTAAAATATTTATCTATGTATATACTATCCCCTCCTTTTCCTGTATTGGTTGGATCTCCTCCTTATATTATAAATCCTCTGATACATCTATGAAATATTGTATTATTATAATCACCTCTAGCACATAAGGCAAGGAAATTTTTTGCTGATAATGGTGTTTTATCACAATGTACTTCTATTTTTAATTCGCCGTGTGTTGTATGAAAGGTTACTGACATTTTTTATTTTTATTTTTTTTATTTTAGACACTAATAATTTTTTTATAGATATAAATATTTAAAAATATATTTAAACAAAAAAAATTAAAAAATTTAATTTTTTTTATAATATATATTTATATGATATATTATACAAAAAAAAAATATTTATATTTTTATTAATTAAATTTATAATAAAAATCAATCTTCTTCATCATATTCTTCTTCATCTTCTGAAATTTTATCGTCATCAATATCACTAATATTATTTTTTCCGGGGGCAGGAACAGTATCGGGAACACATTTTTTTTATTTATAAAAATTCATAAATTATTAATCAGTTAATAATGTTTTTATAGCTTTATAAACAAGTTTTTAATCGTTTTAAATAATAAATAAAACATCTTTTTTAATTTCTTCTGGAGATATAATTTTTTTGAATTATTGTCTTGTTTTTAACTTTGTAATCAAATTATATATAAAATCTTTAAAATATTCAGATAATAAATTTAATGCATTATCATCAATAAATTTTTCTTCTATATATAATGAAACCATTTATTTTATACTTTCTTTTAATTCTTTCATTTCTTTTACATTTCTTTTTTCTAGCTTTTAATCTTTTGCTTGCATTGAGAAAAAATATATTTATTATTAATAAATTAATATTATATATTATATAAAATAAAAAAAAAATATAAAAAATTATTGTATATATAAATAATTTATATATATATTTATATATATATATATATTTTTTTTATTTTATATTTTTTTTTATTTTATATTTTTTAATTAAGTATTTAAATACATGATTTTTTGTTTTTAAATAATATTAATTTTAATATTATTTTAATTAAATTAAGAAAATATATATTTATACGTATATATATAAAATAAATAAATATTTTTATTTTATTTTCAAAATGTATTTTTTTCAACAACAACCAGATTTATTTTTTTCTTTTTCTTATCCATTATTTTTTTAATTCTTAAGAGTTATTGGTTATTTATCTTTTTCTCCTTCACTTTATTAAGACTATCCCGGCTTGCTTTAATTTTCATTACTTTAACCTCCACTTAATGATTAAGCCAATTATTTAAAGAATGTACCAATATTTTATCCTGATTTTGCTGAAACTTCTTACAATTTTAAATTGAATTATTTTAATTATTATTAGCATTCTTCAGCTGAAACTTTTCTTTGTTTTTTATATAAATTTTATTTCGTTTATTTTTTTATTTAAAATAAAAATACCGATCTTCTAAATCTGCTTTATTTCCTAAAACAAATATTAATGCATCATTTCCTCTTTCTTCTTTTACTTCTTCAATCCATTTGGTTAAATTATTAAATGATGCTTAGTCTTTTTTTTATTTTTTGTTAAGTAAGATTTTATATATATTTTTGTACTTGTCACATCATATACTATTATTGCTGCATTAGAATCTCTAATATAACTAGGGATTAAGCTTTTAAATCTTTCTTAACCTGCAGTATCCCATAGTTATAATCTTAATGTTTTGTTATCTAAGGTTAATGTTTTGCAAATAAAATCAATACCTACTGTTGGCTTTATTTTATATATTTTTTTTTTTATACTATTAATATTTATTTTAAATATTTTTTACGTACTTATTCACTGCCTGTAAAATTATCGTATATAAAACGATTTATTATTGAGGTTTTTCCAACAGATTAATCTCCCAAAAATACAATTTTATATTTAATTACAGGTCCTGATGTTACATTTTATTACATTTTAAATATATATTTTATTTTAATATTATTAAATTTTTCTAAAAATTATATTTTGAGTTTTATTTAAATATAAAATAATTTAAAAAAAAAAAAATTTAAATTTTTTTTTTAAAATAAATTTAATTAATTTATATAAATATATTATCAAAATATATATATATATATATATATATATATATATATATTTTTATCTTAAAATATATATATTTATTTCTTTTTTACTACTTATAAATAAAAAAGTTATTAAGAAAATACAAAATATGCTATTTTTAATGAAATTACCAAAAATATTTTAATATTTATTATCAATAGATAAAATAATTTCAGTATAAAAAATAACCTAATAAAAGATATTTAATATACAATAAATAAATAATTCAAACAAATTTAAAAATTCTTTTTATAAATAAAAAATAAGAAAAAAATTCTAATATATAATAATTTTTTTTTAAAAACAATGTCCTGCCAAAAAAACATTCTTCAAATGGGACGACATTTGATTCTTGATTTCACAGGTGTCGAATCTGTAGATTTAAATTGTTTTACCTAAGTAAATGATTTATTCATGATAGCTTTAAACAAAGTAGGATTAGAAGTTGTAGATTTATAAAAGAAAGAATTCGAACCTTAAGGACTTACTTGCATATATATGTTAAAGTAAGGTCATTTAACAATCCATGCATGGCCTGAAGCAAAATCATGTGCGATTGATTTTTATCATTGTGGATCTAATACATGGAATGTTGTTTAATAGGTAGAAGAATCATTATGCGATGGATTAGGATGGGATAAATGTAGTTCAACAGTTACTATCCCTAGAGGAGGTAATAGCAGAATTCAATGCAATAATAGTTTTTAGAAATGCGAAATATAGAATGATGTAAAACTTATACATAGAGAAAAAACTCCTTATTAGGATTTAAGAATTTATGACAGCAAATATTTAGGGAGAATTTTAGTTTTAGATGGATAAGTGTAGATTAGTGATAAATTAGATGATAATTATACTTTGGATATGAGTAGAAATATTGTTAATGAAGAAAGTGTTTTTGAACATGTTCTTATTATAGGAGGAGGAGATATGCTTATTGCAAATTATCTACTCGAAAATTTCCCTAATATAAAATAAGTTACAGTATGTGAAATAGATGAAAGAGTAGTCGAAAATGTACGAAAATACTTCAAAATGTCAGATAATATTAATAATAATATCCAATCAGGAAGACTTCATGTAGTATACAAAGATGGAGCTTTATTTGCTAAGGAATTAGCATAAAATAATAGCCTAATTGATGGAGTTATTATTGATTGTACTGACGTTTGGATAGAAGGATCAGCGGCTGGTTCACTATTTACTTTAGATTTTTATGTGGGTCTTAAATAATGTATGAAAAGTCATGCTAAGTTTTCGTAATAGTTGAGTGCTTTGGATATGATTCCAAATTTTAAAGATAAAATGTAATAGGCTGGGTTTAATAATGTGGAAGTTTTATAAACTAAATCACCGGAATATGGTGAGGATATTCCTATTGCTTATGTGGGAATAAATTGAATTTTTTGAAAATATATATATATATAAATTAATGTTTGTATTATTTCTTTATTTGCATGTATGTTTTATTAATTTTTTAAGATTTTATTTTCCTATTATTTTGAATTTATTTAATGAAAAAAAAAAATTATTTAAAAAATTTTTGTTTTTATTTTAGGATTTTTTACGAAAAATTTAATATAAAATAAATAAAATTATGATATAAATTATACAATAATAAATATTTTTAATTTTTTTATATTTTTATTTATATTTTTTTGTATTAAAATAATATTATTAATAATATTTGTTTATAATTTTTTTATTTCATAATATCTTAAAAAATTCTATTTTTATTTATAATAATAGTTATGTGTTAATATAATTAAATAAAAGTAATTATGTGTATTTTTTTATATTTTAAATAAATAGTTTTATTTTTTATAAAGAAAAATAAACAAATACAGCTAATATATTCTCTAAAAAATAAATGGAAAATTTAAATGAAATTGTATATAAAGTTTTTGAAAAAGAAGTATAAATTAAAAGGGTAATTAAAGGTAAAATTTTAAATATTTCTTAAAAAAAAAAAAAAATAGATTTAGAGCATTTATATAATTTAGACTAATAATTATATGATATAAATGTTACTTGTTTTGGTTTAGGAATTAAAATTATTGTAATAATAAATAAAATATATATTTTTAATTAATAATAATATATAAGGTTATATTAAAAGAAGAGTTACTTATAAAAAATCTTTTAGATTTTTATTTATAGTATTAACCAATTAAATTTGAAATTCTATTATATAAAACATATCCATTTACATTTCCTTAATTTATTTGTTAAACAAATGTATATTATATACAAAATATTTTATTTATATATTTATTCCTTTTAAAAGTTTTCTGAACCATCATTAGCTGACGGAAGAGATTTAATAGACAATATAATCGAGTAATAATGGATTCCTTCAATTCTTTTATATTAAATAGTAGAGTAAATACCTGGTTTTTTGGTAAAAAGTGAAAAAAATTAATTTTATTTTTATTTTTTATTTAGTATAAAGTAAATTAAAATATTGATAATAAGACATATTTAAATAATCTTGGCAGTTTTATAGAAAACTAAGATTATGATTTAGAATAATTTCTTTAAATGAACTGTGTAGATGTTTTTCCTTGCGAAAATTTATAAGAACATACATAGAAGTAAAAATTAAAAGTTTTAAATTTAATAAATTTATATATAATAAATAGATATGTTATTATTTCAGAAAGTTATTTAAATACATTTTTGCTTTAAGATAGGACATAAAATATAATAAAATTAGAATAATAAAATTACTTAAATTAATTATTGAGTATTAAAAAGAAAAAAAATGAAGATGAAACTTTGATTTTAATATGGAATAATTATGTATATATTTTAATTAAAAAAAAATAAAAAAAAAATTAAGGGATAAAAATGCTTACAAATATTAAAAGTGAATTAAACATAAAAACTAATTTCTTTAATAAAAGGATATATGTAGAAAAGAGGAGCTAAAATTATTAACAATATTAAAAAAAATATCGTAATTTCAGAAGATAATGTTACTATGAAAGCTTATGAATAAATTAATATTGAAGAAGTGATTTAAAATATATAAATATGTGAAGCTAATGTTTAATAAAATATGAATTTAAAAAATATTAATTAACTAATGGAATGTTATTAATATGCAATAGAATATTATTCAGCAGTAGATGATTAAGTATTTTAAGGTAATTTAATTATAATTCATAAATATAATTAAAAATAGAATACGTTTAAAGATTATAATATTTTTTAAAAAATAATGAAGTTAAGGAAATTTTAGGTATTTTTACATATAAAATAATAAATTTATTAATATTTTTAATATATAGATTAAAAATAACATGAAAACTAAAAAATATTAGAAACAGAAGAGGAATGTAAATAAAATAAAGAAAATAGTAAACTATCAAGAACAAGTAAATATAATTTTTGAAAAAAATAGGAATATAGTGAAAAATATTTTATTAATTTAATTAAAAAAAAAATTTTTGATTATTTTTAAAAAAATTTAAAATATCATACATACATATATATATATAAAATTTATATATAATATTAATATTATTTAAAAAAAAAAAAAAAAAAATATTTTTTATCAATAATTATTTACTAGATCCATACATTTAATAAATTCATCAATATTTTAACTTTCTATTTATTTAATTATTAAACCAAACTTTTTATTTACATTTAATTAAGTTTATTCTCTTAATTTTTATTCGAATTCATGAGATTTTGTATTAGCAATTTATATAATACTATAATCAATACCAACAATCTAAAATAAAAAAAAATATTTAAAAAATATATTTTTATATATATATTTATATATTTATATATTTATATATTTTTTATTTTTTTGTAATTATATCCTTATAATATATTTAATTATAATGTATATATATATTTTTTCAATATATATATACGTATATATAAATTTTAAATTACCTTTGCTACATTCATAGCAAAACTTTATTAGAATTCTTCTTTTTTAAGTTTATATAAAAATACAACTTTTCCTAAATTTTAATCTACAAAGCAAGCCATATGATAAAAATCGATTTAATAATAAAGCCTAAACTCATCAATAAGTGAATGATAATGAGTAGCGAAAATACACCTACATTTCATATGTTCCACAATATATCTAATAATAGAATAAGCTATAGAATATCCATCATGTGTAGAAGTTCCTCTACCCAATTCATCCATAATAACTAAAGAATTAATACTTCCTTTAGCTACTGCATTGAATGTTTCTTCCATTTCTATATAAAATGTGCTTTTACCTTCCATTAATTTATCACTTGCACCTAATCTTGTAAAAATTCTATCAACAACACTAAACTAAGCTTCTTAAGCGGGCACATAGCATCCTATTTGTCCTAGAATTGTAGCAATACAAGTCATTCTTAATGTAGTTGATTTTCCACCCATATTTGGTCCTGTTAATAATATTAGATTTTTTTAATCTTTGGGTTCTCCAGTTTAATTTATATCACCTATAAAAACATCATTAGAGATAAATTTAATACCTAAACTTGATAAACAGGGGTGTCGTGCCTATTTTAATTTTATAAAAGGTGAATTCTGGTTTTTTATTATCTAAGGACGTGCCATTATACCGTCTGCTAATGTAAAAGAAACTAAACTAAGAGAGCATAAGCAGTCTAATTCGGCCAATATATGTAAAAAAGAATCCCAAGTCTTATGCATTTAGTAGAATTAGGAAAATATTTAAACACAAATAGTCTTAAGTTCCTTTTTTTCTATTTCTTGGGCATTTTCGAGTTCATAAATCAGCTTTTTTAATGGATTAGTGAGAAATCTTTAGTATTGTTTTGTTTTAGATGTAAATTCAAAATCGGAGGGCTTTTTATTTCCTTTTACGTGATTTTCATGGATTTCTAATTCGTATTTAGGACTGTATTTTATACTATTATCGGAAAACATTTTTTGTATTTTTCTTAGGTAATTTTCGAGCTCTTATTATATTTATTTGACATTTTCTTATGCTTCGTCAAATTCTTAAAGTAAACCTTTCTTCGGGTAAGGTTTATTAGATTTCCATTCAATAATATTGTCAAATTGAGCTATTAATTATGCAATTTCGGGTAGTTTACCACCTTAGGAGCTTATTAAAGTGATTTATTTCAACCTTTAACTATTAAAATTTTCAGCATATTAAGAAAATGAGGACATTATTAAATTATAAGACGATTAAAAATTACTTAAGAGTTCACGGAATTCTTTTAGACGGATAGTAGAGAAATCTTCATATTAGACAACATTTTTTTAAGCTTATTTTATTTAGTATTTGTAAATTCGACCGCATATTTTTTCTAAATCAGGCATTTTTTGAAGCTCTTTTTGAAAATAGTCTCTCATTTCTGATATGTTTTGTAAGTCTTCGATTGCATTAAGTCTATCATTTATCATTTAAATATCTAAAAGGGGCGCACAAACCCATTTTTTGAGCATTCGGTAGCCAAATGGACTTCTAGTTTTATTAATATACGACAATAGACTACCATCGAAGGCTTATTTAGTTGAAAAAAAGCCTGCAGAAGGCTCTAAAATTTCCAGATGTTATAAAGCTTAGCTGTCTAGTATCATAAATTATTATAAAACGGAATTTTATGAATGAATATCTTCTTACATTTAATATCTAGCAGTATATAATATTTCATCAAAAATTAGGAGACTTTTCAAATACGAAAAAAGTCCGCTTAAAGTTTCTAGAATAATATCGTTTTTTTCATTCCTTATATTAACTAGATCTTATAGAACTTAAGGATATAACTATTTATCTTATCCATAAACTTACTCAAAATAAGAAAAGCATGCATTTTTATTCCACTCGTTTCTTTTATTAGGGAAAGGACTCAATTAAGGTACTAAATATCCAGATTTGAGTATTTTTTTTACCTCATTATTTACCAACAAAGGATCAAAAACAACTTCTTGGGGTTTAATTTGACATAATAAGGTTTTAAAATTAGTATAATGTAAATCATCTTATATAAAAGAGATTGTTATTTAATTCGTAGTATGTTCCAAAATACATAAGCAGAAGTAATTTTTGAAATTCTTTAAGCAAACTAAATATCTTGGGTCATAATTACCTTCTTGGTTTATATCGTAAGTTCCTTTAGTCATAACTTGAACTAGTTCTCTTTAAATGCATTTTTATCCGATTTTATTTTTCAGTCTTTTTTCCATTTCTTAATTAGTCTCAGTTTATTCCGCTATGGCTACTTTATATCCTCTTTCTACTAGTTTACTAGCCATTCTATCTAAGGCTTTTTCCGGAAAACCAGTGTGCATTTTATCACCCATCCAGTTTAAGTCTAATTCTTTATTCGAAATTAAAGCATCTTCATAGAATAATTCATAGAATTTACCAAGTTTAAATAATACAATTTTGTCAAAGTTTTCGCTTTTTATTGTCCAGTATTATTACATACAGATAGTTAGTTTCTTAAAATCATCAGGGGGAATATATAATGTAGTTGGATCATAGTTTGGGTGATCTTTTTTGCGCATTTGTTTGTCACGGGCGTTTTCTGGAAGGGCCCATAAAGGGGTGGTGTCTCTTAATTGCTCAAAAGCGGCCTTTTTTGGGTCTTCGCATATGTTTTCGGATGTATTTGTTACTTTTTACCCGAATTTAGGTGTGGAGAGGGATTGTTTGGATTTTCTTGCAGTTGAGCTTTATTTGTATTTTTCATCGAAATCTTCGTTTTCTTGTTCGTTTTGGGATTCTATGGAAAACGAAGATAGTGATTTTTCTTATTTTTCTGTAAATCTGACTGATTTTCTCTTTTAATTATTGTTATTAGTTTAAGGTGTTTTTAACGGAGAAGGCTTTTTTAAGATTTTTTATAATTATTGTTCTTCTTGTTCTTCTTCGGAATCAATTATTTTTTTGGTTTTGCGAAGAGAAAGGAGATTTGGATTTTAAAAATTGGGAATGGGATTTTCTTGTTAGTATTAGTTTTCTTCGGAAATTTTAGAAGGGTCTAGAGATATTTTTTACTATTATTAGTATTTTTTATCAGATTATTAATTATTATTTAAGATTATGTTTACATTGTTTTTTTAGTTTTCTTTTTGGTAGTCGGATTATTGGGAGTTTTATTGACTTTTTTTAGTGCTTGAAAAAAAATTAAGAAGATTACTTTGTTTCATGGTTTCCTTTTTTTATATTTATTTATTTATAAAAAAAAAGATTTTTTTTTTTTGAATACGTAAAAATTAAATTTGTATTTTTTTCTTTCTAAAGTATATTAATTTTTTTTTTTTTTTGGTGAAACTAGATTTAAGCGCGCGAATATAAATATTTTTTGTTTTAATAAAAATTTATGATATAATAATTTAATATTTATATATATATATATATAAATATATATATATATATATATATTAAATGCAATTTAATAATATTTTTAATATTATCAGTTTACTATTTTTATATTTTAATTTTTTTTTATTTTTTTAAAATAAAAATTAATAGCAAATAAAATGAAATAAAATCCTTCAATATTTAAATAATAGTTAAATATTTCATAAAACGTACAATCAAAACTACATTAGAATTAATTAAAAAATTTAAAATATTAAGATAAGTTAAATTAAAATAATATTGATTTATAAAATAAGGAAGATAGTGATGTATTTTATATTTATAAAAACACAATTAAATTTTAAATTTCAAAAAAAAGATGATAATATATATTTTATAAAAAGAAAAAAGAAGCGATAAAGAAAATGCATTTCTTTCAAAAGCAATATAAGGACTAAATTTTTTTAAGTCTCATTAAGACATATTATTTATAGAAAATATTTAAGCATAGATTTTTAAATAATTTAATTATGAGAAATTCGATGAAAATGAAATAATATTTAACTATGGTAATATTAATACTAATATTATTAGAATAATATTTATTATAAAAATTAAAAATATATTTATAATTAACATTATAAATTTTACATAAATATATATATTAATACAATTATTTTTAACAATATTTTAATTATAATAAACTCTTTTAATTTTATAATAATTATAAATATTATTAATATTATTATCTTTAATTTTTATTTTATAAAAATATATATAATCTATAATATAAATTACCTAAATAATTTATTTTATTTTATTTAATATATAATTAGGCGATTTTGGTTTCAAATATTATATTTTATTATAAGGTAAAATTAGATTTATCCAAAAATTACTTATATATATAATATTGAAACATAATATTTACCATTAAAATTTACTATTTTATATTTTAAGGTTCCGCTTAATTATTTATACCAAAACCAGAAATTGTTCCTTAATTATAATTAAATATATAATAAGCAGAAGAATTAACAAGAAAAAGTTCACTTTAATCAAATAGATCAAAGTAGTTTATTAAATTAAAAAAAATATAATAAATTATTAAAAGAAAATTTTCAGCTAGTTTTTCGCCTAAAATTACTTCATATGTAGATGATACATTATATTAATAATATATTTAAAGCCATTTTAAAAATTGGAATAATGTAAAAACATTTATTCCAGGAGATGCATTTGGTGAAATAGCTTTATTGACAAAATAAAGAAGGTAAAAAGTAAAAAAAATATACATACTATTATCTTAATAAATATAATATTTTTAAATAGAACAGGTACTATTATATGTAGAGAATAAACTCATGTAATGACTTTATCTAAAGATGGATTTGATATTATTATGAGGAAATATCATGATGATATTTTAAGACAAAAAATTAATTTTTTAAGATAATTTTAGATTTTTTATAATATTCCTATTTCTAAACTTATTAGTGTATTTTTTTTTAAAATAAAAAGAAATGTTAGTAAATAAATTTAATATAAAATTAGATTATTCATAGCACTAAAAATGTTAATTATTCTTTGAATAATATTATTTATTAATAAGGAGATGCAGTCGATAAAATATATTTTATTAAAAAAGGAGAAGTTGAAATTAGTTTAAATATAAAATTTGAAAGTTAGAAAAAATAATTAAATCCTCATTTGTACGCATAAAAAAATAAAAAAATCATCCGAATAGCCCTTTTAGGTATGAATTAATGCTTTGGAGAATATGAAGTTAAAAATGAATAAAAATATAGAGTTTAGTAGGCTATTATAAATTAATAAGATACTGAACTTTATATTGTTGATAAAAAAGTATTATTTTTTATAAAAAACTATAATTATATATATATTAATTTAAAGATTATTTTAGAAACATTAAAATCTTATAAATTAATGGAAAACATTAATTAATAAAATAATTAAAAAAACCAATTTAATGAAAAAAGGAAAGAAATATTAATAAATTAAACTACAATAAATAATAATTATATTGAAAAAATAAAATAAGAAAATTAATAAAAAAAAATATTTTTTCATAATTAAACTTAAAATTTAAAAGTTTAAATATAAAATTTCGAAAAAAAGGATAAAAATTAAAGTCTTATATCTTCAAAAGATCTCAGTTCAAAATTTATGAATAAATACTTTATTTAATACTAAATGTAAATGTTTGAAAAAGTTCAAAAAATTTAAAAAAAGTCACTTGAAATAATTAATAAATAAAATTCTATAATTTTTAATGACAAATTGTAATTTAATAATTAAACAACACCTATTTAATTTAAAAAATAAAATTCTACCAAAGAATATAATGCATAAAATCAAAATAAGTAAATTAAAATAAAATAATTTGAAGATTTACAAAAAAGTAATTTAGGGGGGGGGGAAGGATTTTAAGATTTTTAAAAAAATATAGAAAATAGTCTTTTTATGCATAATTTTAATAAAAGAGAAATTTCAAATATATTTAAAAAACCTTTTATGAAAAAAAATACAAGCCAATATTTTATTAATAATAATTATTAGCTTACATAAAAATAAAGAAATTCCATTTTTTTCAATATTTAAAGCGACAATAATTTGAAAATTGAAAAATAAAATTAAGTTTAATTTCATTCTCAGAATTCAAATAATAATAATTAATTTAAAAGTTGTTTTTTTGAAAAAGATAATTATTTGCCTTAAAAAGAAAATAACAATAAAATGCTTTAAAATTTTTCTAAAGATAATTAAGACCTATAATTTCTTAATAAAGATAGTTAAAACTCAATATTATTTTAGAAAGATAATTAAGTTTAAAATATGAAACCATTTAAAATTACTAATAAAATTAAAAGAAAAGAACCAAAAAATTTACAAAAAGTGAAATAATTATTATAAAAAAGAAATTTAATATGAAAAAAATAATATATAAAATTTTAAAATAAACTTTTTTTTTGTTTAAAAAAAAACAAATAAAAAAATATAAATTATATTTATTTATTTTCACATTAAAATAGTTCCAATAATAACATTAATAAAATCTTCTCTTGATCTATTTAATTTCCATGCAATTTTTTCTTATAAAGGTCTAGTAAGATTAAAATAAACATCCAAAATATTTAATTCAAAAAACTCATGAGAATTTCTTAAAAACATTGATTATTTAAAAGTTTTGCATTCTCTATATTCTCTATAATCTAAACTTCCAATATAAGGAAGTTCCTCATAAATAGTTTTCTATAAATCAAAAAGGAGAGTATTTTCTCCTTATTCATAAATTAATTTTAAAACAGATATATTTCCATCTTATGAAAGTAAAAGAATATGACTTACTGCTTCTTATTACTTATATTTTTTTGTTTAAAAAAAATAAAAAATATATATTTAAGAAATATATAATACTTAATTATCTCCCTTTTCTATAATTTATTTTTAATCAGTAATTATTTTATTAACTTTGGATCCTAAATGGAAATTGGCAATTAATTCCATTTAGACATTTTTTTTTTCATTTAAATCTTATTATTAAATCAAAGAATAAGCATATAAATTTTTATATTCATCTGCAACAAGGGCTCTTAATGTATTAGTATTTTAAATAAAAAAAAGAAGGCATTATCTAATATTTATATTAGCATTTTCTTCTCCTATTTACTTAACTTTATTTTCTCTTTCATCCATTTCATAAAGTTACATTCCTTTCTAAATATCCCCAACTAAAAAATATTACTTATTATTCCATATAGATGAAATAATAAGTCTTTAATGATAAGGACCATCTATAGTAGGAACTATTTAATTATTAATTAAATTACACATCATAACTTTATCTCTTTCCATTAAAACAACTTTAAAATGTTCAGCTTTTTATTTATATTTATATATATATATATATATATATATTTACTTGAATCATTTAATGAAGGATAATTTAAAAAACAAAAATCAAAAATAAAATCTTTATAGACATTATTTGTATTGACTAATTCTGGCATTTAGTTTTCTCTTAAAAAATGACAATAAAATTTGCAATTTACATCATCTTCAGGTTCCTTATAAGTCAAATATCCTATCATTTATATTTTTTATTTTATTTTGTTTTTTTTAGATGTCCCTTCGAAACATTTAAATTTATAAACGATTTCTCCTTCTTCTAATTATTTGAGTTCTCTTTATATTAGAGTTTCTTCTTCTATTAGTATTATTTCTTGTTTTCCTTTAGCTCTTTAATTTACTAATATTAAGTAAAGCTTTATTTATTAATCAAATTTAGTTCTTACAACATCCATATATTATGAGTTGTATTCACGAAGTTTTTCAGGTATTTTATACATAAAATTTTAGGCACAAATAAGTTGATTATCAAATTCATAAAGTAGTATTTTTCCTTCATGTGTAATTAATAGACCATTAAAAGATTTTTACTTTATTTATTTTTATAAAAAAATAAAATTAAAGAAATAATACTTAACTATTTAAATTTATAGAAGCTAGAGATTTAATAACTTCAGGCCCGTCTTTAAAAAGCATTACATGAATAAAAATTTCTTATCTTTTATTTTCAAAAACAGCTAAACAAGCTGCATTTTATTCAATATCGGAAATAATAATACAATCTTTATAATAATTTCTAAAAACCGTATTTTGGATATTATGAAAAGAGTACATGTTTTTTTCGATTTCATTAATACTAAGTTAAAATTCTTCATTTTTTTTCATTTTGGTATTAATAAATTAAATACATTTAAGTTATTATCTTTAAAAATCATATGGAAAAACTTAAAAATCGTTATTATTATTACTATGCTTAAGTACTCCTTTATATATATAAACATCTCCTTCATTAGTTTTGATAACTAAAACAAGACATTTATCTAATAAAGTAATAAAATACTCTTTCACGAAAGTATTTTAAACTTCCCTTTTAGTAAAACCTAAAACAACACTTGTATCTGTAATACTTCTCATTAGGTGATCTTTTCTTTAATTTTCATCTAAAAAAATCCCATTTTATAATATCGTTAGTCCTTCTTTTACATAATAGCATTCATAGCATAGTCTAAATTATACTTAATTTGTTTATCTATCAAGATCACTGCTATATATTTAAAATTAATTCGGATATCCTATAAATACAAAATCATAATTTCTCATTTTAATGTTGTTGTAATATGGTGATGTCTTTTGGATACTTATTATTCTCCTAGTACTTATTTCTTGAGTAAAATGAACTGCTTCCTCCCATTGACCTCCATAGTAATTATATGTAAATGCATGTAAATCATTATGAATGTCTAATATAAACACTGTATTACATACATATATCAGTTTAACTAATTAAATACTATATATTTATTTAAAAAAAAAATATTAATAATATTTTATTGTTACTTTATTTCTAAATCTACATAAGAATCGTTTTAAATATCTATAATTCTTAATTTTTAACTACATAGTTATATAAATATTGGTTTTTATTGTAATCCTATTTAAATAATTTCTTTAATAATATCCAAAGTATAAACATCTGTCATAAAAAGTGTATATTTAGAAAAAGATTTGATTTCTAAATCTATTTTTTCAAGAATTATTGTACGGTTATTTTTACAAGAAACTATTATAAAATTATTTTCTATTTCGAATATTTTATCTGCATAGTCTTCTCCAGGCTTTACATTAAATTTCTGTTCTACATTATCTAATTTCTAAGGTTTCATGATTCTTTGGCAATAATAAATTTGATTTTGCCCTTTTTCATTACTACATAGAAAATAATAATTAGACCATTAAGGTATTTCTTTATTTATAAAACTCACATCTTTTATTCTATTCCAGTTTTCGAATTTTTCTACAATCTATAAAAATAATTAATAAAAATAAATATATATTTTACTTATAAACTATATTTATAAACAGGAACGTTAATAATCTAAGGCAAATTTTATTAAACTCCTTATTATTATTCTTATTTAACTTTTTTAACAATATTTTCTTAAAGGCAATTTAAAATAAATAAATAAGAACATGGGGAAGAATTATTTTTAGATCCAATAAATAAAAGATCATATTATTTTTGGTTAAAATCAAAAAATGTTTTTGCTGAAAAAGTATTGGAAATTTATGTCGAATATATATATTTTAATTAAAAAGCCTATATATCAAACATATAGATATTTTTTTTATATTTAATAGCTATTTCTTTATATGATAATTCCTATACATCGCAACTTTCTATTCCTTCCAATACATTATAGTCATTTACAATTACACTACATTAAAATTATTATTATAAGCTCTCTAATTCATTTTTGGAATTATGATTAAGTGACAAACATTGAAACTAAAAAATACCTTAAGAATTTTAAATGCCCAAAAAAATATAAAACTTGCAAATTATTAATATAGAATTATTCTCTAAAGTCCTTATAGTGTGCGTATTTTCGGGTAAATTAACCTAATGTTTATCAAAGACGAATTTTTTGTTTTTTTTATCAATCATATTCACTAAATTAATTGCAAAAAGTTAAGTAAATATAATTTTTTGTTCATTTTGTGTTTATTTCCTTAATCTTAGTTAATATTATTACTAGTTATTATTTATGTGGCCTTTTTTTCCTCTTCTTCTTATTGTTAAAAGACTATCTTTCGGTTCAATATAAAAGCATATTATATATTTCCGATTTTACAAATAGTATAGTCTATTATATGGTTCATTTAATAATCTTAAATTAAATCCAAATAAAAAATCTCATTAGAAAAAATATTGATGTTTTAATGAATTTCGTTTTTTTGGCTTTTTTCTTCCGATTAGCTTTTATCGAAAAAACTGTCAAATCCCCTCTAAGAATATGAAATCATCAAAATTCTTCTCTAAATTAAACACAATAGGACTTCTTAGGCTGTTTTTATGTAAAAATTATTGTATTTATATTAGTCGTTTTCCAATTCTGTCTCTATGTCTATAGGTAATTTTTCCTATAAGGCGTATTAAGATATAGTCTATAGAGAATTAGTTATATTGTCATAAAAAAGAGTTATTATTTATATTTTTCTAATGAACAAACTAATAAATTATTTAAAATTCCAATATTTACTATCCGACTATGGATTTGAAATTATGCTTAATATTATAATTCAAGCTTTCCTTTATCGTCTGGGCATAAAATTGCGTATATTTTTAAAATATCTTCCGACCATAATAATAAATGGAATAAAATAGAATAATATTAAATTTCTTAAACTTATTTTTTTTGTTATAAGACTATATATTTTTATTATGGGTGCTACTAGTATATAAAATTAGGGAAATTCACAAATTTACTCCCTTTTATATTGAAATTGTTTGTTATACTAAAATAAGAGTATACAAAGTTTTTTTTGGCTTCATATTTGGCTTATTTTTTGTCTGTTATTTCGGACATTTTTTTTTTTTTTAGATATTTTTTATTATAATAATTAATGCGTGTATTTTTATTTTTTAGTTAAAAAATTTGAAAACAAATCTTATTTTAATTTTTAAGTATATTATTTAATTGTAAAATATTTAGTTTTTTTAATATTAAAAAATAAATTAATACATTTATTAATGCTTTTTATTAAATTATTTACTTTATATATAAAGAAGGAGAAGGAAATTTTATAAAATTAATGATATTCATATTTATAAATTCATAGAAATAACTAATTTTATTAAAATGTCAATTTATATAAAGCATATTAAATTGAATTTTAATAATTTATAATATTTTTAATATATTTTATTTGTATAATAACATTTTTTTTATATTTTATAATAAAAAAATAATTAAAAAAAGTATTTTACTTGTATAATAAAGAATTGAAGTTTAAAATAAAACTAAATAAATTAAAATTATAAAAAAAAGATATTGTTTTTAATCAAAAACTAACCAAATTAACAGAAAATCAAAACAATATGGAAAATATTATATTTTTTTTTGGTGAAATAAATAATAAAAGCATATATATAAATTATTTTAAAAGTCTAAAAAATAAAAAAATCAGCCTTAAAAATATATAAAATTCAAATATTAAATATTAGATAATATAGAGATATCAATTTAAACAATTTTATAATAAGATTAAAATAATATTGATTTTTTTTTTCTTTACTTTAAGAATATTAAATAATTTTTCTTTTTGTTTATTTTCAAATTTTTTAATTAATATATAAATAAAAGATTAGTTTTCTTTAATTTCTCTTATTTTTACTTTTTTAATTAAAAAATGATTCAAATCTATTATTTTAAAATAAAATATAAATTTATTTAAGGTTTAATTTTTTTATACCTAATTATTATATTTATTTATTTAATATTAAATTTTTAAATATAGTTATTTTTTTATTTTCTAAAAGCCCTAATAGCTTTTAATTTTTATTTAAATGTCATTTTTATATTAATTATATTGTTTAAAATATAATAATAAGTTTTTATGAAAATTTATTGTATAAAATTAGCATATCCCTCATGAAATATAGTTATTTTTATTGAATAAATATTACAAGAGAAAATCTTTTAAATTAAAAAATGATAAGTTAATATAGACTTTATTTTAATTTAGTTTTTAAAAGATCTATAGAAAAATATATAGAATAATATAAGCAAGTGACATATATTTGATTTCAATTTAAAATAAAATCATTTTTTTAATGGATTATAAATTATAATATCATTAATTTTTTATAATATAAAATGTATATAATTTTTATTTTTTCAATAATATATATTTAAAAATATTTTGTTTATAATTAAAAATATACAAATTATATTTAATAAATTATAATTAATTAAATGTTTTTTTTTTATTTTATTTTACAATTATATATTTTTTTATTAATAATTTAGTAATTAATTTTTTTTTTTCTCTAATTAATTTAAAATAAGTTCAAATCTATTAGATATTTCTTTAAATATTAATTTAATTTCTCTAATCTATATCTTTCATTATTGAATTATAATATTACATACTATAAATTCCTTAAAAAGCCGTTAAAATATCTTCATCTTATAAATTTTTATTTTATTAAGAATATCCATAGACACTATTATTGTTAATTTTTTGATTAAGATTTAAAGGATTTTTACTAAAATATTCTAATATATCCCATCCATTTTTTTCAGCTAAAGTATCTCTTGCCGGTTCCAAATAATCCCTATAGGCTTTAGATAAATAAAAAAGTCCCTATTCTGCTTCTCTAATATGAAAATTCATAGGGATAGAATAATCCATTTAAGCATTAGTTAAATAAGATTAAGAATAATTTCCATCATATTTTTCTTTAAGAACTTTTTTAGAATTCAGATTGTTTTAAATATTGCTATTATTAGTCTATTGTTATTTGTTTTTTCTTTCTTCTTCTTCTTGAATTCTTATAGTTTTAAGTGTTTTTTATATATCATTTATTATATATTAGCCTGGTTTGTACATATTTTTATACGTCATATTTTCTTAAATAGTACTTTTTTATATATTTTATGTATTTTTTTGAATATTTGTGGTATTTTCTTAAATAGTACTTTTTTATATATTTTATGTATTTTTTTGAATATTTGTAAGTGATTTTATTGAAAAAATTTCAGGTTTTTCAATATTAGTTTTGAGGAAAAATTCTGCTTTACTTGTTTATTATTTATTAGTAAAATACTGATTGAATTAATTCATAGTACCAATTATATTTTATGATGTAAAGTTTGTTTTTTATTAATTAATTATTATTTTATTGCTTATTTATTTTTCTTCTTCTTCTTATTATTATTCAAAAAAGTCTTTTTATAAAAATCTATTTAAAAAAATATTAGGTGGTATTAAAGGAGTCTTTTATAAAATGGCCAAGTCTTCTTTATTTAGAAAATTTTATTGATTTTTGTCTTCTTTTTTTTCCAAAACTTATTAATGCATTTTGACAAAAGGTAAATTGGAAGGATTTTAATATATAAAATCAAACGTCTTTCTTTTATTTTCTATTATATCTTAATTGTTTTTATCTTTAAATTAAAAATTATTCTATTGTAAAGTTTATAACTATCCAGGCGTAAATTTATCCAAAAAAAGTCCTAATTAATTATTTCTACGTCTAAAATTATCTTTATTTTTGTATTTAAGCTAATAGTTTTCATCTAAATTTAATATTTTTTTACTTTTTATTAATATATTAGGTTCTATTATGAATTATTTTAAATTTTCATCTGGTTTAGTCTATGGTTAATCATTTATTTGAAATTCTTTTTTAGAAAAATCCTCGTAAGGATCATTTATTATCCCCTCATAGTAACTTTTTTCCTCTCGGATATCTTTTTCTATATTATCCTTTTCAAAATACTTATATTTAATCCCATCTAATCTATTTAAATAACTTTTCATAAATTTCTCATTATCAGTATCCTTTATCTATTTTAATTCTTCTTTTAAAGGGTATTAATAATCATCGCCTCCTTTTCCTAAATTTTCTTCTAAAAAAAGACTTTTTTTTATCTCTTTTTCAAAACCAGAATAATCACTTTAAGATAAAATGATACTCTATTTAAAATTTTAAACCTTCTTAAAACTATCATAGGAGTTTAAATATATATTCTAATCATTAAAAAGTCCTTTTATGAATTATTTATTAAAAACAGAAGCCATTTTTTCTCCTTCTTCGTCTACTTAGTATAAATCTGCTTATATTGAAAATCTGATTTTTTTATTATTATTATTATTATTTTATTATTCGTTTTAATTTTCTTTTATTTCTAATTATATAGCCTTTTATCTACCTTCTAAGCTATATATGTGTTCTTTTTCAGAATCTATTTTCGGCTTTATTTTCATTTTTTTATTTACTTCTTATTTTTTTAAATTTTAATTTTCCATTTCTTCCTTTTATTTGGTTTATTCTTAAAGTTTATATAGTTGTAAATATTTCCCTTTTTTTTTCAAAACTCCTTTAATTTTTTTATTTTCTTTTTTTACAATCATTATTTGTCCTAAATTAGCCATTTTAAAAACATCAAGTTCTACTTATAATTAATTAGGATTGTCTTCATCGTCTGAATTTGCTAAAGAATTGGAAAAACTACTTATTATAGTATTCATGCTGATTATTTTCGAAGAATATTCAATTCCTTTATTTTTTAAAGACTGTAGTATTATATTTGATTTATATGAAAGTTCCTTAATAAAGGCTTTTCTGAGAAATTTTTTATCTAATACTTTCATAAAGGGCTTTTTTTATAAAAAATCTTACCAAAAATATTCATTTTCGCTATCGTTTTATAGTTTTTCTGTATTATTATTTTCGTCTATTTTTAATTCTTTTTGTTCTAATTACAAATTGTTTTATAATAGAGTTTTTTTTTTGTTTTCTGATTTAAATATATCTTCGGCACGAAAAAGTTTTTTTTTTTTTTTTTTGAAATTATCTTATTTTTCTTTTTCTTCAGCTTCAGCTTCGTCTTCGTCTTCATCTTCATCTATTTTTCCATATACTTCCTTTAAAATTTTTTTTTAAATTAATTTCTCTTCTTCTATTTATAAACGCTCTTGTTCTTTTTTTATTCTTTCTTCTTTTTTTAGTTACTTTTCTATATTTTCTTATGATATTATTTTGTAAGGATTTATTATTATTTTATGATAATTTTCGTCTTTATTTAAAATATTGGAATTCTATAAAAATTCGGAATTTTATATAAATTTTGAAGCTCGTTTATTTTGATTTTCATCATTATTTTCAAAATTTATTTCAGTTTTGGAATTATTTTTAGTTTTTTACCCTGAAAATATATTAGTTTATGTATTTGATAATTAAAAGTTTTAAAGACTAGATTAATTTGGTGGCGTTAACAATGCACTTATTTAGGGGGTGTATTTTGAACTAGTTTAACTATAATAAGTCATATATATTTCAATTATTATTATATAAAATATAAATATAAATATATATATATATATTTATTTATTTATTATATTAATATATTAATTATTATATAATATATTTGATTTATAGTTATTAAATTAAATATTTTTTTAAAATATATATATTTTTTTGTTATATTTTATTCAATTTTTGAAGATAAATCTATTATATTATTAATAAAAATTCTAAAAACATAAAGTACTAATATTATATATATATATATATATATATAAAACTACTTAATTATTATTAATTTAACATTATTTTTTTCATTTTATTAATATAAAATATTATCGTAAATAAAATAATAATGATAAAATATAAAAAAAGATAATTTTTTTATTATATCAAAATAAAAAAAATTATAAATAATATAATAATAAAAAAATATAAAATACTAATAAAATTGGAATTAGAAATAGTGTTTTAATATACTACATAGGTATTGCTTAATTAATATTCTTTTGTGCATATCATACTTACCATTACATAATGTTATTAGAAAATTAATAATAAAGTTACTTTTCCACAACCCATTAACTTAATAAATATAAACAGGTTTAATAATATTTTTAGGGTTTATAACTTTGTAATTTGTTTTATCTATAAATGATGTTTAATAATATTCTGAATTAATATAATTATAAGAGTAGAAATAATTATAAGATCATTAAGAAGATATTCATGATTCTTTAATCTAAGCAAATATGAAATATCATAAAGCAGAAAGAAATCTTTATCTAAGCTTTTTAGTTTTTATTATTAATATGAGTATTTATGGATATTTGAATTATCTTAAGAAATTTGATGATGATGAATATAAAATAGAATAATATGAATCGGCCAAAAATTTTAATAAAAATAAAAAATGATTATTAAATTTAAATTTTTTATAAATATAAAGTTTAAAAAGTAAAATAAATAATATAATTATTATTATTTTTAAAATAGTTATTTTTTGTTTTTCTATTTTTTTAAAAAATAAAATAAAATACTAGTAAAAAAAATAATTTTTAATTTTTTCTGACATTAATATATTAGATGATTGCATTTAAAAAAAAAAATAAAAAATAAAAAATAATTAAAATAAATAAATTATATTTAATTTTTTTTTTTTTTTATTATTATAAAATACAGAATAGTAAAATTAATTTTCAGCATTTATTTTATATAAAATCAATTAATTTTTAATATTTAAAAAAAAATATATAAACAATAAATAAAATATTTTTTTTAAAGAATTAAAAGTAAAAAAATATATTTTAGTTTTTTTTGAAAATAAAAAAGTAAATATTATACTATTAAAATAATTAGAATTTATAATACTATTTTCTAAATAATAAATATTAAATTATAAAAATATATTATATTATATATTATATATTATATATATATAAATTTATATTTATATATATATTAATATATATATATATTTATACATATATATATTTATATGAATCTATAATTTTTTTATTTTTATTTTTATCTGTATATGAATTTGTTTTTATATAATTATTATTAAATTTTGTTTTCTATTATTCTTTAACTATGCTTATTTAAATAATTTTATGGCTATTTTTTATATTTACTTATTTTTAATTATTATTTGTATATAATGAAATAAACTTATATTCTTATTTAAAGATTACTGAATAATAATGTTTAAAATTGTTCAATTATATAATGCAGTAATTAAAATTTAATATCATAAATCTGAAAGAAATTTATTTT